ATGGGTGTGATCTCACCGCAACATCTGGGAAGCGGCGCGCACCCATCCCCGATCCGTCCCTAAACCCGGAAAACCCGCTGCAAAAAAGAACCTCCTACAGAGGAGGACTTACCTGAAGCACCGCTGCAAGCGCGGGCGTGGGATCGCCGCCGCGCCCGTCGTCTGGATCAATCCAGGCTCCCCTCCGAACTGCGCATGCGCACACATGCGCAGTTCAGCTGTCACGCTCTTTCTTGAGTGGCTTCCCCCCCAGCAACTGATCGTGCCAGGGAGGAAGTGCGCGGCGACCGCTCTTTCCCCGTGCTACCCCCCCCCCCCGTGTGGCAGGGGTCTTAGATTCTTTTTCCCCTGGGGGAATGTGCCAGATCGGAGTTCCAGAACCTCTTTGACAAGATTCTTTTACAAATGTTTAAAAGTTCATGAGTTTTCAGTGTACAGATTGAAAACTTCCTTTCCCTCTTGAGAGCTCCGGCACCTCTTTTCCCTAAAAAAAGAGAGCAAGCCCTGGTTGCAATTCTTTAAAGATTTTCACACTAGGTGGCTGATTAACACGCACAAATCAGGGCTCTTTTTGCAGCAGGAACGCCTTTGCATATTAGGCGACACACCCCTAATGTAGCCGATCCCCAAGAGCTTACAGTAGCCCCTGTAAGAAGAGCTCTGTAAACTCTTGGAGGATTGGCTACATTAGGGGCGTGTCGCCTAATACGCAAAGGAGCCCCTGCTACAAAAAGAGCCCTGCGTGACAAGCCTATGGTGAAAAGTGCTGTAAAGGAGCAGTGGACTTAGGACGACCTCGGCCCCGGTCACACGAAAGGTTTTGGTCCGGGAGAGGGACGGATCGGGGGCGGAGCAAACGGGCGCGATCCCACTGCAACATCTGGGAAACGTTGCGCACCTGTCCCCGATCCGGCCCTTCCAGCCGAAAAACCGCATTAAAAATAAACCACCTCCAGAGGTGGTCTTACTGGAATGGCTGCGGCAAGCGCGGCTGCGGGATCGCCAGGGCGTCCTTCTGCCGGCGCATCCCTGGGTCCTGGCCGAACTGCGCATGCTCAGACATGCGCAGTTTGGCAGCCTCCTGTCGCTTTCTCCCCGGTCTCCCCGGCATCTGATCGTGCCGGGGAGCAATTGCGCGGCGGCTCACGGGATCTGTATGATCCCGCCGCCGTGTGCCTATTTTGGTGCGGCTTTTAAAAGCCGCACTTTGCGCGTCCTTTCCCCCCCTCGTGTGGCAGGGACCCTCATAGAGTTTTCAAGGCAAGAGATGAGCAGAGGTGGTTTCCCATTACCTGCCTCTGCATAGCAACCTTGGACTTCATGGGTGGTCTCCCATCCAAATACTAACCAAGACCGACTGCTAAGCTTCCAAGGATCCGCCTAGCCTGGTCCATCTAGGTCACGGCAGCTGGTGGGAGGCGCCATCAATTCACAGCTGACTTGTGGCGATCTTGTACAGTTTTCAAGGCAAGAGGCATTTAGAGGTGGGTTTGCCATTTCCTGCCTCTGCGTAGCCACCCTGCGCTTCCTTGGCGGTGTCTCATCCGAGTACTAACCAGGGTGTGCCCTGCTTAGCTTCCGCGATCTGATGATGGTGGTTTGCCATGGCCTGCCTCTGCAGAGTGACCCAGAGCTTCACGGATGGTCTCCCACACATTCTGTGAAAACAGGCTCCATGTTTGGAGACGTTATGACTACTTCACACCTGTGCTCCCTTTAAGCTGAGTTAGTGTCCACCAGCTCACAGTTTTTTAGCCTCCGGCTCACAGATTTTTGTCTCCGCTCAGGGAGGAGGGCTCCAGAGCAAACTCGTTTATGCAGCAGCCAAATCGCTCACTCAGAACTTTAAGACCAGGAGCTCACAAAGTAGGATTTTTGCTCACAAGACTCCACAGCTTAGAGGGAGCATTGCTTCACATGTTCTAGAGAAGGCCAGACACAGCTTTTGAGGATGCTCGTATACTCTCTTGTAATGCCCGTGAAAAGTATGCATACGGAGAGTGATTTCAGCTAAGCATACCTTTATTTAGTCAGGACCAAAGACACCTTAACCAGCTCGCAGGCCGGCTTATATTCCCTCAGAGAAACCCACCACCAAACACCCCCCCACTCCTGATAGGCTATTTACAATGCTCAAGAGACCTATTGGCCTCTTGGCCTGGGACCTAGCCCTTTCATTGGGCCTGGCTAGGATCCTACTGGCCCATTGTCTTTAGGCTTGAAGCAAGTGGTGTTTGTGCCTGGGCAAGTCCAGGCATGCCCGGCCCTGACAGGGCCTGATACACTACAGCCCAAGAGGAAATTTTCTATGTCCATGCTCTTATGTTACGAGTTCTTGTGCTTGCAGTTCTCTTCTTATAAGAAGAGAAGAAGAAGAAGAGACTGGATTTATTCCCCGCCCTTCACCACCCAAAGGAGTCTCAGAGGGGCTCACAAACTCCTTTCCCTTCCCCTCCCCACAACAGACACCCTGTGAGGGAGGTGGGGCTGGGAGAGCTCTTGACAGAAAGGGCTCTTTTTCAAGGACAGCTCTTATCAGAGCTAAGGCTTGCCCAAGGTCATCCAGCCAGGTGTGAGTGGAGGAGTGGGGAATCAAACCCGGTTCTCCCAGATTAGAGCCCACACACTGAACCACTACACCCAACTGTCAATGCGCCAGCTTCAAGGACAAGCATAATTAGGGAAGCACAAGTGGCATTTCACTGTGCTTCTGACCAAATAGTCTGGTCAAACAATTCCCTTGTGAGTTTGTAGAGCTTCAGTTCCTGTAGTTGCTGTTTTAATTTCTAGAACTGCTAGATTTGAGTTCAGTAGCACCTTAAGAGACTGTCAAAATTTTTTTTGGGGGTATCAACATTTGGGGATTTTTCAGGGTATTAAAGCTCATACCCCAGGCCCGTAGCTGCAGTGGGGCATTGCGGGGCCTGGCCCCATGACTTACTACTAAGGCCCCACAACTTCCCATGTAGTCCAGCTCCCCGAAAAAAATCCATATTTTGTTGTACCTTTTAGAACAATTAGACCAAATAGTCCATCCAAAATTGACTACTTTCTTCTTCATCTTCTCCTTGAACATATTCTGAACGTATTCAGGAAATACACGACATTTTATATGTGGATTGACATCATCAAGAAAACAATATTCAAAAAACATAATTGGTTACAAAAGACAGTGGTAATCTGAGTAATAATCCTCTGATTGGCCAGATATAAAGAAACATATATCTATGCCAAACTAAGTGTTTACTTAACCTGACCTAAACGATAATGGGCAGGGATTCTTCATATCAGACTAAAATCATATCTGGCCCAGACATTGAAAGGTTTGCCCTAAGAACTACAGAATCATGAACTTTGTACCTATTATGTTGTCGGCTAACAATATCAGACCTACAAGAGGAAAGCCTTCTATATAACAGGCCTTTCTAACATCCTAATAAAATATTTTAAAAGGTAAAGGTTCCCTTGCTCGAAAGCCAGTCGAATCTGACTCTAGGGTTGTGGTGCTCATCTCCGTTTCAAA